GTGTTTATGATTCGGGATGCAAACTTTTAGAGCCTGGAGTGCTTCAGTAACTGCTGAGGATTGGTAAAGATCAGCAATCTCTGAAACACGTGTACTGCTACGACCAGGCTCCTCTGTAAAAAATGAAACATAATCCTCAGTGTGTTCAGTGTCATAGAGGCTGGAAGGCAGGCTCCACTCTACCATGCAGCAACTACATTTTAAGACCAGAAGTTCCCATCGTGATCATCTAATTTGCCCTCCTGCTTAGCACAGGGCATAAAAACTTCACCCAGTTCTTCCTGCTTCAAGCCCATCTCTTATTGCTGGGCTACAGTGTATTATTTTTCGAACGACAGCTTCCCTTGATTTGAAGACTTCAAGTGATGGCAAATCCACCACATTCCATAGGACACAGATTAGAAGTAAGGTGCCGGATACCCTTTTCAAAATGACCTGAAGGACTTGGTGTTGATGGTTTTCTTAAGTTCTGCAGAACAACCCCAAGCCACATGGAAGAAGAGAAATTAATTGAACTGAAACTGGACTGATTTTTGTTCACAATTTTGAAGCTTGCAAGTTGTCATTAGTGGAGGGGAGGGAGATAATTTGTCTGATTTTCATAATATGCACCATCAATCCTGGTACTGATGCTAAGACACGTTTTAGCATCTCTTCAAGTCTATGCCTTGATATTTCATTCTGCAGCTCTCTGGGACAAAGGCAAGCTCAGCTGTTATGTCAAAGAAAAAGTAGAAGGCCCAGCTCCATTCAGCATGAGCAGTTCTCTCAGAAATGTGCCTTATGTGATTTGCAGGACTTCAATAAACAGTTACATTACGGAAAAGAGACGGGGTACTTTATTGGCAGGCACCTCTCATTGTTCATGTCCACATTAGACCTGAGTAATACTGACGACTAACAGTAAAAGGCCCAGGAGGCTGGATGTAAACTAGCCCAGGCTCTGTGTGCAAGAGTTAAAACGGCTCAGCCAGATTCCAACTTGGTTTCTTTATTTAACGAACTTGCTGTTTCCCTCCATCTCCAAAGGGCATTATTTCCCCCCCCATGCAGAGGGGCCAGCACACAGCTTAGTCACCGAGTAAGCCCCACTGAAGCCCTATATACATGGGTTCATGCGCTGCGCAGGTCTTTGCTGGCCCCTCTGCATGGGGTGGATTTTATGGTGGACCCGATGCTGCAGCACACTGAGCGACCGCTACTCCCACTGACTCCAGAGGACTCGGCCTCTTGCAGGACTGATCTGCAATTATGCAACTTACCACTAGGGGCCAAGTCCCCTCCTTGATGCGGCTCCACCCCCTTTGAACAGAGGCGACCCCTTTCTGAGTTTAAAATACCAATTTCACTGCACATCTGGCAACATCCCATTGAATACCAAGTTATGCTGCACTAGCTGAGGGCAAAATGCAGCTTAATCAGAGCCAGCCCCGAGTCATTTACACAAACTATCGCTCTAACCCATGGCAGCATCTTCCTTCAACAGGTTCTTTCCTGAGCGAACCCTGCTCCAGTAAGGTTGAAGCCACTAGCGCTCCTTCATGGCTTGCTAGGCTGCTGAATGCTGCGGCCTGCTGCTGCTAACAGAGAGCAGCGCCCAGGAGTAATCGCCTTTTCACTGCTTTGCTGCTAAACATGTTCAAATCCGGACACTTGTGCGGAGGATTTCACTTGATCGGTGCTGGCTAGGCATTAGGGGGTCCGTCTCTCGGACAACCGTTCATCTGTTCGTTCAGGGGAAGGCACGGGTGTGTGTCACAAGGTGGGAACGGAGGCTTTCACTCAAAGAGATCAAGGTAGTCAGGTTCCGGTCCCTGTTGGCCACATGGGTAAAGCAGCAGCTCCTTCCCCAAAGAAGTGATGGGCTCCTCCTGTTGGCCAAAGGACATTCGTTAAACTCCACAGTCTGAAATGAACACAGGTGCACTTAGGTGCTGATTGACAGCCTGTTGGGGGGCAAGACGTCTTTCCATGGGCTTTGAGACAGAGCAATTGTGACATAGGCCAATCATCTTTTATTGATATGGTTCGGGCTCACTTCAAAGCCTGCCAGTCAAGGGAAAGGCTCCCCTCGATTTCTGTGGGCGTTGGATCTGGGCCTGTATGGCCTTGAGCAGGCCTCACATCCCAACTTAAATGACACAATCCAACACCCTCAGATTGAGAGGAGCTTTAACACTTCGCTCTGCCTCTTTCTGGGCAGCAGCCTCCCGCCAGCCAGTCACCACTTTGGAGGAGGGACTGTCTTCTCCCTCTGCTGCGCCGCAGGTACTGCAAGGCGCCAAGCCAGCCATGATCTGCCTCCCCTGGCTTACCGAGGAGATACGAAAGTGAGCCAGTTAACTCAATTACACTGCCCCCCACCCTCCCTCTTCAGCTCCGTCTTCCCCACTTGCTGCTGCTGCTCCTCCGTTTTGCTCTGCTCTCATGAGCTAGTAGCAGCCAATGGATTCTCATCCGTTAAAGCACCGTGCTGGGGCGGGGCATGGGGGGAGAATCCAAAGACACCAACGTTTCTCTTTGCTACCAGTGCTGGCTTCGCTAGTAGGAGCGTCTTTTTGAGACCGGTGGTGTTATTTAAGGGAGTTTCATGCATATCTCATTTAATGTGGGGTGAAATTCACCCCGGGGAGAGGGACTGGATGAGGCCTAAGCAGCATGGAAGTGCCCTGTTCTGAGAATGGAGGTGGAACAAGCACGTTGGTTTTGTGCCAGCCCTCTGCCCAGGGGTGAGCTTCCCCGAACGCCAACAAATTATCTCTCACTTAAAACAAGTTTTAATACGTTCAGTGAGTTGGCGCTTCCTGTCAGTAGGAGCTGTACCCTCACCAAGTGACACCGGCAATGTGGGAGTCCCGTGGAAACAAGCTCTTCTTCCATTCTTGCTTTAAACACCAGGAGAACCAACGGCTTTATGAGTTGGCCACAAACCAGACAGTCGTGCCCCAGGAAACACCTTCTCAGAGCAGCTGAATGGTTTAAAAGCGCTCAGATGGTGAAATTCAGTCCCGTGCAGAGGGGCAGCACAAGACCAGGTGCCCAATAAGTGCCACCTATGCCTTCACGCTAGGGCTGCTGTGGTGCATGACCTGGGTGCTGCACCTGGGCATCCCCCACCCCAAACACGCTCCTTCCAACTGGCCCTCTGCTGACCACAAATGACCTTCATTATCTCCACTAACTGAGCCCCTCGGTTGGAGCTTGGCACATGAGAAATGCTGATTCCTGAATCCGAAGCAACGGGAAACTATATCAGAGAGCGGCCCAGCCTGCTTCATTCCACACTGCTCTGCGCTACCTTTGCTGCATGTGGGGCCTTGCTTTTATCAAACGGAAAGGTGATTTATTGCCCTGTAACCCTACAGTTCCCAGCACACAGTTGGTTCATGGAAGGGAAAAACGTAGGGACAGTCCCAAATCATGTACCGAGGTTACCAGAAAAGCTGGTTTGTTGATCAACTTGCCTCTGCCTGCTGGTGGCTTTCACTTGCATTACGGTAGCCTGTGCTCGGTGCTGTACAAACAAAGAGACAGCCTCCGCCCCAAAGAGCTTTAGGCCAGTTACGAAGATGAATTGTTACTACAAGCATTGAGAGGGGCTCACCTTGTGGTAGTTGACAAGGTCGGCCAGTGTCGCATGCTGCAACTGGTCCACTCCCAGGAAGCTGTAGGCGCTGCTGGAGGCATCTATTAGAAAGTGCTTACAGCCCTCCGGGGACAGATGGCAGAGTGCGTAGCCTTTGATCTTCTCACTGACCCGGACCAGAAAGCTCCCGGGCTCCGATTTGCTCAGGAGCTCCTCTGCTTGCCTCAGGGTTAAGATACCTGCCAAAAGCAAACCACAGCGCTTACAGGAGAGAAGCAGTGTGGGGGGAGTGGAGGGCTGAATGTAGCAATGCTAAGAAGGATGCTGTTTTAACCCTCTAAACTAATCTGTAGCATTTACATCAGGCGGTACGTCTCAGCTGCATTTCACTGCCTAACCACTTTGCTCTAGGCCAGATCGTGGCCCAGCTCACACAGCTGCGCTAGCAGGAGCTGCGCGGCAGCCAGCCGGCATGGCCAGGTAAGGGGGATAAGAAGGGAGGCAGACAAATACCTTAGCTAACTAGATTAGCCTGCTGTTAAAGTCTCCACATCCTGAAGGACATTGGAATTACAGACGCCCTCACTTACCTATGGGTTATAGTTTCTTTTAACTGCTTACTCCTCTCTCCAGGAAACGCTCTCACAGGCCGAGCCAAGTCAAGAGACCGAGCACACTGCTAGGAGAGATGCTCGCGCCCATTCTGTTGTGTACAGAGCTCAGTTGTATAACATTCTTGTTGCACCTTCAGAGTCTTTCGTGCCACGTGAGTTGGTCCTGTTAGCGCTGGCTGTCACATCAGCCCAGAGAACAACTCCGCTCGCGCCCACATGCACAATGTGCGGGGTCTAGTGACTCAGGAGATGTCTGTATTGCAGAGAGAGGTGCAATTGCCGCTCGGGCAGGGCGCTAGTTTAAATCCAGTTAGCATGACTCAAAGCAGTGACATCACAGCCATGCAGGCCAAGAGTAGGTAGCCAGGGTTCCCCCCTTCACTACTATTTTTAGCCACACTAGCTAGATTATAGCTAGTGCAGGTAGTCCTGCCTGACTGCAGTGCAAACGTACCCGTAGGTGCAACATACATTAATATTACATGATTGCAGATGTGCTCTACCAAGCAAACGCTCCTCACTGAAGTGCTCAAAAAGGGACCCAATGATATTAACATTTTTACGGTTTGTTGCTTTTGCTTGATCTAGAATTGTTGGATCAGCTTCTCCATGGCCACCCCCACCCGCCTCCTTAAGCCAGGACACGTGCTAGGGCCTAACTTGTTCCCTTAGTGGTATAATAAATACAACCCTTGGCTCTTTTCAGCTGCAGATCTCAAAGCAGTTGACGGAGAACGGTTGGGATCTCTAACCGCATTTTACTGGTGGGAGACGGCGGCAAAGAGCAGAGACGTCACTTCCCCAGGTCAGTGGCAGAGGAACAGAACCCAGGTCTGCTGAGTCCCACCCTAGCTCCCTACTCTGCCACCTGCCAAACGCCCTGCAGAGGCTTAGCTTAGAAAGCAGCACCTCGTGTACAGAATGTGGAAGGTCTTTTAGGCCAGTCCAATAAGCAGCCAGAAGTATCAAGCTGTGAATTACATTTGCCTTTTGGGCACAAGTTTCCATCCAGAAGAATGGACTAACTGGGAATGCCCTCCGGGTGGGGTGGGGTGGGAAACACGCTCCTTCTTTTCTGATAGGCTACATCTCCTTGCTTGACTTTGTCGAATTAGCGGGGGTGGGCGCGGCACTGCAGACCCACGGAGCCTGTGTGATTGGCACAACATTTACAAAACAGCTGGCCAGGCCTGACGTTTTTGGTTTGAAATAATTTTCCTTCTCCCACGTGGCTTACCTGCCACGGCTGATGAGCCCCGTCTGCCCGATTAGAGGAGTAGAGCAGGGAAATGACTTGGCCAAGGACCCTGAGCAGGGCTCCCGAGTGCCAGGCCTGCACCCTCTGCACTGTACCATGCTGCCTTCCCGGCTAGATCTCCTTGCTGAGAGGGACTATTAGCAAAGCACTCTACAGTCACTCTCTTTAATGGAGTGGAAGAGGTTGGTCAAATTTGTTCATACCCACTCTGGGTCATCGCTCTACCCAGCATGCCTCTTGTGCCTTGACACTCTCTTTCCGTGGGGTCTATTATTTGTATTGTGGTAGGGCCTAAGTGCTCCAGTCATGGACCAGCACACCAGTGCGCTAGGTGCTGCACAAACACAGAACTAGCAGGCAGTCCCTACCCCAGAGAACTTGCTGCCCAAGCGTCCGCAGCACATGACAAATGATCTTTTAGACCCTGATCCAGCAAGGCACTTAGCACATGGCTTTAAACGTGTAGCTGCTCCACAGACTTCAAGTGAAGTTGAGAATCCAGCTGAAGATTTTCCACTAGTAGGAGGCTGGTCACGATGGGCACGGGTGAAGGGAAAGGTGCGATCCATGATATGTAGCAGGAGAGTCTGGCAGCAGAGATTTGGCAAAGGGACACTCAATATAACGTGTGAGATGCAGTTTGTATGTGCTCAGCGTGGGTTACCGTTGTGCTCTTGGGGCACATGCTGTCTGGAGACGTTTCTCAGACCGGGAATGGACCTGGCCTGGGATGGCTTTCCACGGACCACTTTCCTAAGGGCAGGAGAGGGGCTGGGAAGCTGTAGCACTCACCATGGAACCAGGGTGCTATCCTGTCCGTGGATTTCTCATAACCCGCCCGAAGAGGAAACTGCTCTTCTTTAAACCACCTGATGATGCTCTCCTGGGTGGAAGTGGAGAGGGTCCTCTGCACGCCCAGATTCCTGCGGTTCCAAGAGACTCGTGGTTTGTACAGTGAGGTCACACCCCAGAATTCAAGTTCTGTTCTCTACAGGTTCTTCTACCGTGCTCATCACGGCAGTGTGCGAGGCCCAAATGCCCAAAGGTATGTAGGCAACTAACTCCCATCAAAACCAATTGCAGTTAGGCACAGAAATACCTTTGAGAGTCTAGGCCTGAGGACCTACGTTAGCTTTGCCAAAGAGCAGCTGCTTAGGTCTTGGGGCGTGGATGCTCTCTGGTCAGATGGATTAAAGCTGGCCTAATACGCCGGGGGTCATTGTATTATTGGAGGTACCCACATCCATTGAAAGGGGCACTTCTGCCTGGCTCTAGGAGCTCATTGAGAATTCTTAAATATACAGCTGGGACACGGCCCTGTGGCTAGAGCTGGCTAAGAGAGGATTTATTCCCTCTCCCCTGGGGAAAACTCTGCTGAACACACACGTTTACCAGAATCTCTCTTTGAAATTCCCCAGATTTTTTGCCAAACCCCAAAGAACTTCATTTTTTTTAATCAAACTAAAAAGTGACAAAAATGGAGAGAAAAATTGTGAAGATTTCCACTTTGTCACAAAGCCATTTTCCACAGAGGAAAAAAAGCCGATGGATAATTGTTGGCTGGCTCTAGATATCCCTCACTCTCAATCGTTAATCAACACGCCCACTGCAGCCAGCAGCGAAACATGAGATCTGCCCCCAGAGCCAGTGCACTCGCACAGCCTGGAGAGCATGGGGCCCTTGCAGCATGGCTGGCAGGTCAGTGATTGGGACTAGTTCCCAAACCCAGGGGCTCATGGAGGGCACCCTGCCAGCTGTCCCTCTCTGGTGGGGCCCCAGCAGATCTCAGCTGCAAGGGAGATCTCTCAGAGGAGATGGTCAAAGGCCGTATAAGGCTTGAAAGGTTAAAACCAATTCTGCCAGTGCAGATCCAGGAGCGCCTGGGGTCACATGCTCCCATAACAAACGACTAGCCAAGTTCTGCACCAGCTGCAGTTTCCAGGTAGGTTCCAGCGGTGGCCCTGGGCAGTGCACACTTCAGTCGCACATTAGCTGGGAGACGGTAAATAAAAATGGCTGGGAGTCCTGACCCCGTCAGGAGAACACGTACCCGTCTGTGCAGCCCTAACACAAATCCCTATTTGAGATGGCAGCTGCTAACCCAGCTCTCCCCAGAGGCGAGCTTACAGGGCGGGAGAGGGTCAGGGTGCAGTATTTCCCACCAAATGGAACGTGGAGGGAGCAGACGAGGTCCCAGCAGAGCAGCCCTCAGTGGTGGGGGAGGCTGCCCATTTCAAGTGAGAAGACGTGCAGGGCTGGGTGTCTGGGATCTCAGAAAGACAGATGGTTCTCAGTGGCTGTGGGTCCCAGAATCCTGTGGCATTTTGGTACCAATTTGTGAAGTCAGCAAGAGTGTACCATGCACCCATCGGCCCAGCTCCATGGACGTCAACCATCCTTTCAGTTCACTAGGTTGCCTTTTACAGAACGTGGCCACCACACACAAGCTGTGGATCTGGCCCAACGTGTTGTGCAGGCCCAAAATCCGGGGCTGCCTGTGGAATCTGAGGGAATACCCTGGAGTCACGTCAGGGGGAATATTGCCAGGGGAGCCCAAAGCATTCACTTCACTGAGATGGGCTGCTGGAACCATGGGGTTTACACCTGCTGACACCGATTTGTATCCTTAATTAAATACTTCAAAGAGATGAAGTCCTGGTTAATCATCATCTTCGCTAATAAGGAATAGATCTGTCATGTCCATAGCACCTTGCCTTGGAAGAGCATGCAGCGTAGACAGACCGTGTCTGAGGAAAGGTGTCATGGTAGCGTATTAAGGTTACTAATCTCTAAGCCCTAGGAACACCCCTACCATCCCCGTCCCACAACAGAAAGATCCCAGACACTTCCATCACCGGGGGGCAGTTCTTACCTGTTGGGCCTCCCATTGGCTACCCCAGAGTTTAGGGTTTTAGGCTTGGGTGGAAGGGAAGGACGGGGGGGCAAGCTGCGCTCCTTGCTCCCAAAATTCTTGGCAACTTCGGCTACCTTCCCTTTGCGAATCCCTTGCAGCGACAGCCTGTTGTAGTCGTCCCTGGCCTGCTTTGCAATGGAGCGTCTCCTCTCATCAGCGGCTTTGGATTTCCTCACTGGAACAGAAGGGAGGCTTTGAAACCCACTGCCCCTTTACACACACCCAGGCTAGCTGAAGCTCAGTAGTTGCCTATTTCATATGGACTACACTGTGCCTTGAGGTCACCTCTAGACCCAGCTCCTCCCCCATCCCCAGTTCTGCCCGAGGCCCTCTCCTGAGGACACCTGGGCTGTGCAGTAATCAAAGGGCAGGAAAGAGTGCTTGTGAAACCGGGGGATTTAGGGGCTGTTGTAGGCTCTCAAACTACTTTTGAAACTGACTAGTTTCCAGGGCGACGATGACCTTGGTAACAGTGCACTGCTGCGTAGTGAGGACTCCAGAGATGGCGGAACGTAGGGTGAAAAGCACCAAGCCGGGGTACGGTGGCATAAGGCTGGCGTAACATGTCAATGGGTATGCTACCGGGGATGGGTGAGAGTCAGTGCAGGCACTGCCTGGGGTATTTAGTCACCTACGTAGCACCTGATTTTCACAAATATGACACGCCCAGGTGGGAGCAGCTGGATGCTCAGTACTTTGACAATCAGGCCAGTTATTTAGTTGCCTTGGTATGGCCTAACTTTAGGGACCTGGTTTTTAAAACCCCTAGCTGGAAGTGAGACATATTTGTAATACACCATCCCCATCTCCTGGACACCCAGGGACACGGCAGCTTCTGGCCCTCAACCACTAACTGTAGGGCAATGCCCCCTCGCAGGGCACAGCAGGAGACGCCTGCCCCAGAGCACTAGCAGAGTTCTGGAATCAATATGGAACCAGCGGGGACAGCTCTGCCCTGCCCTACAGAGCCAGCTCCCCACACACACTGCAGGGCTGAAAGTATCCAAGCACCTTCCCAGCCAAAACTTTTCAGAATTTTTTGTTCCATGAAATTTTTTGACAATTTGATGTTCTGCTCCAATTCTGAATGGAAATTAATTTCAAAACATCCATATTTCCCATGGGACGACAACCCCATTTCCTAACCACCTGTAGTCGTCATGCTACAGAGCCGGGTGACTCTTGGCCAGCTTAGCTATCTAGTGATGTTGCATTCATCAAGAGAGGCCCCATCCATCAGCCAAGTGACCAGCAGAAGAATCCACCCAGTTACAGGAAGGGGAGACTAGAAAAAAGGGCAACACCAGCGTCTCTTACAGGATTCCTGCCACTCGGGATCGTCCTTGTCCGATTTCTGCCCTGACTCCTGGGTCTCCTTCCGGTCGTTGTTAGTGGGCAGCTCCCCCTCTGCCGATGCTCTCATCCCTCCTGGCCTCCTCCTTGATAGATCCTTCCCCTGTTAGGAGACAACAGGTGTAATGCCTGGTGCCCGGCTTGCTTTCTGCTGACTGCCTTTAGCAGTCTCTGGACACCAGGGATTCGTTTCTTTAGGGTCTCCTGTGAAATAAGTGAGGTTCCCCAAGACACCGACCCTCCCTCCTCCCCACTACCTGGGAGCCCAGGGCTTCGGGGGTCCATTCGTGGGCACAGACTACGCAGCTCATCAGGCCAGGGCAGGTTGAGCTCGAGGGGTAGGAAGTGACATTAAGTGACTCTAAAGGCCAGATGCTGAGCTGTGGCCAAGGAGCTGTGGCCAAGGAGCGCTCCGGGAGGGAGTGGAGGGGGCTGTTTTATCCTCAGCTGGCTCCGGACCAGCCCACTCCTCCACACAGACCAGAGCAGCTGCCACAGACCTGCCAGGCCCCATTCTGGGCCTCACTGAGACCTTACAATATCCTATTGATTCTTGTTTCACTCACACCCCAGGACACCTCAAGCCCCTTTTCCATTGCCAGCTTTGCTTTAAGATCCTCCTGCACCAGGTTCAGAGCTGCTTGTAGAGGAGAGAGTTTGGCATCAGCCTGGAAAAGCTCTTTGGCTGTCTCTGCCCCGGGCACAGCATCACACAGGAAATCTATGAAGCGTGAACGTGCTGCAATGGCCTGTTGGACAATGGTGCGTCCCCTGCTACCGTCCTGAGTCCCAGTCTTGGTTACTTGAACTCAGGAGAGAGAGAGCAGAGATCGGAAAGGGCCAGAGAAGGGCAAGAGCGACCGTCTGGCAAAATTGTAATACTGCCACAGTGGGGCTATTTAGCTTGGGGAGGAGAATTGGAGGGAACGCTGCTGAGATGACGGGTGTGCTGAAAAGGGCCAGCCCCTCCTTTGCTAGCCCGAAACCTGGGCTGCTAGCCCCCACTCTGCCCCTTCCCCCAAGGCCCCATCTTCACTCTGCCTCTTCCCACCCCCCACTCCGCCCCCTCCCCGAGGCCCCCGCCCACCCACCGCTCTCCACCTCCCCCAAAACCCTCCCTGAGCCGCCAGACAGCTGTCTGGTAGTGGTGCCGCCCCCTATTGGCTGTTGGGAGGTGTCACCCAACAGCTGATGAGCGGGGCGGGGAACAGCACCCATGGAGTCGGCGCCTATGATGGTAGGGAACTCTTGGTACTATGGTACCACATTAGTCAGTGCTGGGAGGCGGTGCCCTGCATGGTGGGGGCCAGAGACATTATGCCTGTCTGGGGTGGGACAATGATTCTTGCTATCTAGCTTTTAAGAGATGTAACCACCCCGGGAGCTATGATGCCAGCTGTGGGTCCTGAGGAGCCACCTAGGCTGGGTGAACGTCCCTGGCCAGCTCTGACTGCTTGAGGGGCTGCAGAGCAGAATCTAGCCCCCTGCCTGGGCGTGTTAAAAGCACGCGGGCTCACTGCTTACCTGCTGAACGTCGTAGTTCTTCGTCTGAGCCTTGGAATCTGCCAACATCTGGTGCACGTCTCTGCCTTTACTGGGAGCAGCCTAGACGTTCAATGGCAAACAAACCCAGCGTTAGCATTGGAGCTCCTCCCATTCCTCCACGGTCCGTATACACGTCAGCCCAGCTCTGGCCCCTGTGTCGAAACATCATGCTGGAGCTTTCGTTTAAAATCGCACTCTTTTTAATAAGAATGTGGTGGCCCTTTTACTGCCCATCTAACGGCTGGTCCCTGGACGCACTGCTCCCTCCTTGGGAATCTCACACACGTCGTTTATTCCAGACCCTGCAGTTCATCATCAGATGGGATTGTTCCCCAATCAAGATCAAGGTCTGATTGTGCTTGGTGCTGTACGAAGTGAGAGACGGTCCCTGCTCTGGTGAGTTTACAGCGTAAAGAGACAAGAGAGGCAAAGGGTGGCTGAAAGACAGAACCAGCATCCCCATCTCAGAGATGAGGAATTGAGACATGCAGATTAGGTGACTTGCCCTAGGACACACACGGAGTGTGTGGCAAAGATGGGATCAGGCCACAGCTCTCATGAGCCCCATTCCAGTGCCTGAGCCCCAAGCCCAGCCTTCCTTTCTACTGCATCTCACTGAGACTGGGGTGACCCTTAGTCCCTACACCGTGGGGGGCTGAGGACCTCACAACTAGAGCTTTTGGACACCCCTGACCTCTGACTTAGAGAGATAAGGAAGAAGGGACCCCTGTAGCCTGAAAGAGCGCTGCATGTGTGTGAATGAAACCCTTTCTGCATTCTAGAGCCCTCCCCTCTGAATACAACTCTCCTGCAATAGTCTCTCTAACCAAGGCCTGCCCATGTCAAGGCCTGGCCCTCCTAAAGGCAGTGGCTGAATGGAGAGGAAGGAAGGCCTCGGGGTTAGGACTTGGGAGACCCGGATTCAAGTGTCTGCTCTGCCACAGACTCCCTGTGTGAGCTTGGGCAATTCACTTAGTCTCTCTGTGCCTCAGCCCCCCAGCCATGCAATGGGGATAACAGCAGTGCCCTACCTAACAAGCTACTAGGAGGATTAGTGTGTTAAAGAGTGTGCTTGGATCCTGTGGTGACAGGGACCATGTCAATACTATAGATCGATGCTTGCTGAGAGAGTTTGCCAGCGGCCAGAATCCCGGTTATCAAGCTGGGTTATCGTGGGTTTCTTGTACTTTGAGACAAACACAGCTGGCTTATCTCTGAACCCTCCTACACAGAACTGAATGTGGAGGTCAAAGCCACCTCTGTCGGCGTGGGTGATAATGCTCTTCTGGAACTCCACTGTGGGACTTTATTGGCGTCCCCTTCCTCAGAACCATTATTCCCCCTTAAATATTAACCCAGGTGTCTCTCCCTGCTCTGCTCAGACAGAGACATGGAAATGGAAGTCATTCACCTTTCCCAGGTGAAAAAACAACAACAAAATGCTCAGATGCAGTTACGGATGTAAATCGTTCTCACATCAGTTATTAGAACAATGGAGATGTAAAAAAAGAACAAGCCATAGAAAGCACAATGCCCATCCCACATCTTGGCCTATGTCTCATCTCAGGATTGCCAGTCTTGGTCATTCAGAAAACATTGAAGGGTTTGACAAATCATGAGAGTGTCTTAAAAATCACAAGATTTTAAAAAATTGGGGGGAGGGGGGGGATTCTTTCCCTTCTGGTTTTTGAGCTTTTAGTGATCATGTTTTAAGCTCCTCTCTGCAACCATGAGAAATAGAAATCTCCTTCAGTGAGCAAATAAAGCTGAGATTCTCACCTAATCCCATGACTCCAGGAGTTGAGACTTTAAGAAAAACACCACACGTTGGAAGACTTGCAATAAAACCCAGGAGAGCTGGCAACACTGAGGTCACCTCATGGATGCCTTGCTGTCAACTCAGGCTCGATGTGGCCAAAACCAAGCCTCGAGTTACCTTGCTTTTCTACATTGATGACAGAGCCACATGTGGTTTTAGACACACACTTGCAATTCTACACAAAAGTAACAACTACGGACCTAACCCAAACTCCACTGCACTCAATGGAAGTCTTTCCACTAACTTGAATGGCTTTTGGCTCAGGCTTTAAGCATGCCAGTGATATGTGTGGTTAATAGATATTTAGCTCAGTAGCCTGTTCTGTTTCCTCCATGAATAATAATAAGTGGTTAATACTGGAATGCATCTCTAATTGATTTCTTTCCAACCACTTTAAAATCATTGATTTGTAATCCCACGGCAAAAATATCGCCAGAGAGGAAACATTCTCAACAAAAAGTTCGACCCAAGCAGTGTAACTTCCAGCTTTGGAAGTCATAAAATAGTTTTAACTTTATAAAAAGAAATACAAGCCTGCACTTTAAAAATGCCAATAGCAGACACTGACCTCACGCGCTCGCTGTAGCACTGGAGTGCGGAGGAGAAAGAATCCGACTCTGAATACATTCATTTCCATCTATTGTTAGTTTTACCATCAAACATCTGCCAGAAACTAGGAAGCATCAGGGTTCATTTTGCTCCTAACAGAAACCTGCCTCGTTAGGTTTATTTATTGATCAGAATAAAATCAGTGGCCCAAATTCAACTATTAGTTCCACCAGTGGAAATCTAGAAAAACTCCAGTGGAGTCATCAGAATTTGGCCCAGAGTTTTTAGTTTTGTCTGTTCTAGTTTAGTGGCAGGACTAGGGTGACCAGACAGCAAGTGTGAAAAATTGGGACCGGGGTGGGGGTGGGGGGGTAATAGGAACCTGTATAAGAAAAAGACCCAAAAATTGGGACTGTCATTATAAAATCGAGATATCTGGTCACCCTAGGCAGGACTATAATGCCAGACATAGAAACCACTGAAATCGTTATGGCACCTGAAATGTTGCTTTCATTGTGGATAGCGCCTCATCCTTCAAAGCAACGTTTCAGATGCCATACAGATGACTCCTGATAGCTCAGAAACAATGCAATATCAGGGCTCATTTTGATCTCAGCAGAGGATTGCCTCTTTAGGTTTATTTATTGTTTGTATTACAGTAGCACCAGAAGTCCCAGACTGAGAGACAGTGCTCCCTTGTGCCAGGCAGTGCACACGTGCAGACATGAACTGTGAGAGACAGTCCTGTCCCAAAGAGCTCGCAGTCTAGACAGACAGACAAAGGATAAGAAAGGAAGTATTAGAATCCCCATTTTACAGATGGGAGACTGAGGCACAGAAAAACAAAGTGACTTGCTCATTACTACAGAGAGAGAGGCTGGTACGGCTCGCAACAGAGCCCAGATGCCCCAAGTCCCATGCTAGTACTTCAGCCACAAGACTATCCTTCCTCTCAAGAAGATTGCTCTCCTGAGTTGCATGGCTTTTCCAAAACAGAGATAAAAGGAACCTTTAAAAATCAAATGG